AGAGAGAGAGAGAGAGAGAGCGCGAGAGAGAGAGGGTGAGAAAGAGATAGAGATAGGTAGAGCAGATAGATATAGATATCGTCGTAAGCCTTTATCTTCCCACATTGTATATCATAAAAAATGCTACTATAGTTTAAGAGCGTATCCCCCCCCGTCCGGGATCCTCCATCTATATTATATTTACGCAGCGTCGTAATATTGATATCGTACCCATCCTTCATCGATGATCAATCTCGTTGCGCCATGCCATGCCACTCTCCGGGCGATACGCAGCCCTGCGACACTTGTGAGAGCCGCATACACCTCTGCAGACGAGTAGAAATGAAACACATTTCAGTTAGCAAATGCGCCCAATGATATTATATACTTGCAAGCGAAATTAATGCGAAAAGCATTTTTCATATCTATTTAATATCAGTACTCATGGGGGAGTTTCGTTGCTGCTCATGTCGTTCAGTTGTGCGTCACTCTGTTCGTCATTCTGGCCGTCACACAGACGTCATCTGCGCTCATTCGGTCGTCAAGTGCGCCACTCTGACGTCACTGTGAGCGTCACATGTCGTGCACTGTGCGTCACATGTAGCGATGCGCAGCGTGTCGTACGTACAGCTGATGACATATCGATGACAAACGTCAGCTGTCGGGTTCCTAAGTGGAAACAGGCTCCACATGACAAGTGGGGTCCGTCTGGCGCTGTCGCCCACCTTAATCAGCATGGTTACATTTGGCCGTAGGTCTTGGAGCCGACTGAGGCCAGCTCAGCGTCGATCTGGCACCATGCGTCCGTACAGTTTACAATACATCAACTATCCTCGTCACCAACGACAACAAACTCGCTAGACGACGCGGCGGTAGCTCTAGCCAATTATCACCGTAGGGATATAATTATTAAAATAAGCAAAGGGCGCGAACCAAGTGGAAAGCTTGCATGTATTAACACGAGTTAAGCAGATCAATCAGATTTCATAAGTGGAAAGCTTGCATGTTATAAACAGTAGCCAGATTTATTCAGATCCATTATTGAAACGATAATCACGCGGTTCTGCCTTACAATCGCTGCATACCACAGTTATCATCGTGGTGGATGCGGTGCTGACACCTTTTCGCATCGGATAATTGGGGCGTTAAAGAATTCACGAATAAAGCGGGTAAAATGTGGACTGGCAGCTAAGCCGCAGAACATGCAGCTGACGTGAGTGAGTTTGATGTGACGTGATGTGGAGTGAAGTGCTAGTGAATGATTGAGTGTGAGTGAGTGAGTGAGTGAGTGAGTGAGTGAGTGAGTGAGTGAGTGAGTGAGTGAGTAAGTGAGTGACATAGAATGTGCAGACATGAGGTAGCTTACTCGACAGTGACGTCATTGCTGACGGTTTTCTCGCCTAGCTCGTAGTTGCAGTGCACCCTGTATGCGAGATCGTTCCTCGTGACGAGCATGGGATGACGTTGGAAGACGATCACGTTGTTGTACTCCATCACAAACGAATCTTCCTATGATATTAAATACACGCGAGGCTTAGTAAATAATTCGGATTTAGTCATTAATATTTAAAATGAATGTGGTGGGTAACTACTTGGTGTGAGCGTGTACATACATATGGGGTTTCAATATATTTACCTGCTAAATACATGTTAAAAGTGCATTCTTTATTATTGACTGGAACATGCGTACTTTTAGTAAACGGTAATTCTCTTCCGGAACATCACGCTACGATATACCTACCGGACTTCTCTGCATCGTCGCACATCCGAATAGACCGACGCGGAATCGCACTTCCCTGGTGCCAGTGCCCGTCATAGAACAGTTTTGCATCTTTGAGAGTCCCTTGGGATAAACCCTGCCGAAGAATGGCTCCTCAAACTCAGCGACTAGCATGATGTCATCTGGTTGGCAGATGACTTCCGGCGGTCCTACAATGAGAGTGAAACTTGGCGTAAGCAGAGCGGAGCTATAATAATGGTTATGTTATAGTTATTGTCGTGTTTTGTATTTCACATCCTTATATTCATAAATGTTCATCGAGAAAAACGTCCATATGATTATCTGTTGATATGTACATTTGCATTAGGAGACGTTAACTCTATTTGTAAAATGAATATAGCGCGTGCGCGCTATCTCATCTGTCCGTGATAATGGAACGGTGTCGATCAAATCAATAATTATCATCGATTACTCATCTATTTCTAATGCAGTTATGGTTACAACAAATATAGGCCAGTGACCATGTATTCATGTCAATCTGTATTAGCATTGTACAACAAGGAACCAGAAAATTCACTGCTATCGGCTGATATATGGAATGCGGTAGCACTACAATGCGTTTGCGATACCAGAATTTCAAATAAAACGCACAGCGCTTTGCATGCTTCGTGGATTGAAACATCAGTTGTTTCACTTCCTACATTCTTCCGCGCTGCCTAACCATATACCTGTTTAGCCACAGCGATAGCTGGCTGTCAATATATGGCATCTCTGGTCGAGAGCACCCATACGGACAAACTGGAACAATAACCCTGTACCGCGCACAAGTATCGCTCAATCTTCCTAACGCCCGAACGACAGGGAACCTTATTTAATAGTAAGGTGTGGGTTAGAGGTGACTGTACTTACGGGCTGGGTTTTGTAAGTCATTGTCACTGCGGTAATGAGTTGTTTCTAAATAGACCATTCGTGTATCTATGAGTGTGGATTATACCGCCCAGGAAGCGTGAGAGAGAGAGAGAGAGAGAGAGGGAGGGGGTGGAATTGTGCGAAGTGAAACAACAAAAGGGCACCTTTCGAGCATAGCATAATTATCGTGACGTAAGACCTTGCCGACAATTCTCGCAGAGTGGCTCAAATAAGAAGAGGCGTCATGGGAGAAAATGCGGAGAAATGGAATATGTGCTTGATGTAAGCTTGTACGTCATGACGTCCTACCAACTCCCAATAACAACAACAACAGCAGCAGTTATATATATATACGCGCACGCGTGCATACGTGTGTAACATCTTAATGGCCTCACACACCTTGGTCGTCATCGAAGTCTCCAATCAGCACCACGTCTCTGACAATGAGAAGGGGTTCCTCTTCCGGTTGCTCGCCGCTGAGCGCTTGACGCTTTCTCCTCACCGAGCCCACGGTGGTCGCGCAGCTTGGCTGTCAAGCATCACGGTGAAAATTAATCTCACATATTTATCGTTCTCAGAGAATGCTAAGCAGTATTCCTCGATATTCGATCGGTTATAGTTTTTGTTAATTTACGGGCTCAGACATGACAGTTTATAGGAGACAGTCTTGTTCTGCGTGACAGTGCCTATGCTAGTGTCGCGATCAGTGCGTTATTGCCGCAAAGGGAAATCCACGCTGTGATGAGGACAATATGGCCCGATCCGGAGGATCAGGATTATGACGGATTCGTTTGAGGATAATGGACAGAGCAGGAGGATCAGGATTATGACAGATCCGTTTCAAACAAACAGGGTCTATCTATACTTACGATCTCGCAGCTGCCGTGTATGCACAGCTTGACGTTACACTGGTAATACACCTGCATGCTGGTCGCGAACTTGTGAGCAGGGAACGTTCTGTAGACGCGCGCATTCGACGGATCGTAGATAAGGTCGTCGAAGATATCCGTGTTCACAGCGCAGCTGCAAGATAAATCGATATATCGTATCTAAATACTATAAAGAAGTGTGGTGTATATATATATATATATATAGTTTTATTTATTTAATTATCTTTTAGAATATTTAGTTATTTATATTTTCATTTCAAATTTGTTTCAATTTCAAATTCATGTTCATCCTCATTGCTTTTTCACATTTTTCGGCCACCAGGCGACAGCCCATGTCGTATTTCAAAGGAATAGGGTGTGGTCGTTTCCCGTTGCTTTTCACATCGCAATCACAATTAGGTCATGATCAATTAAATATAGGACAGGACCACGCCATGTTATTCGAGTTAGTATCATCTGCCATTAGTGTGCATCCGACACTGCTGCGGCCAAGTGAGTCTTCGGACGTCTTCTGCTTCGCTAGTATTGGGCGCCAGAATTAAGCCGAATGATACCGAGAGTTGTCACTGCCAATGTTTTACGTACTCGGTGGTTCTTTCACATCTCCATTGCTAGAGACGGCCCTAATATTTAACGTGGGCATGCGAGCCATAAGGAATATACACTCCGGAATGTTGAGAGAGAAGTTTATACACATTGAGAAAAACTTCACAGCGTTGGCCTGGGCGGGCTTGAACTCTCACATCCATCTCATTTGCCCCTCTAACTACTCGATCACCGTAACTCTTACTCTATTGTAATAACATGAGGATATGACGATGGTGATGATGATGATGATGATGATGATGATAATATATATATATATATATATATATATATATATATATATATATATCGTGTCACCATGATCTGATTTCGCTTTGCTAAAAATGTACTTTCACGCAGCAGCAGGAGCGTAGGAGTATATGTGCCTTACAAGCTCTGTTGTAATGTGTCCACGCGTCCATCACTCCAACTCTTCCTACTTGTTTTACACGCTATCGCCCTTACATGTCTTACCAAGAAATCGGCATGAATAAAAGCTGTCACGTAGCGGCACGCCCGCCGTTCTCTGAGAGCGGTTACTCGAGGAAAACGCTAGCGGCGGTCACTTTCACCAAGCAACGAGCGTATGCACAACGAATCGTGCAATTGCGCAGCGAGTTTCCTATTATATATCACTCATGTGAACATAATTCGACGGGTACCGCTGGGCAGCGCTCCGACTGAGCCAACGTGACTGCTATTTTCGATTAAACTTTCATTCTATGTTCTTTGTTGGGAAGAGCGTGCGAGGGAGTGAGAGAGAAAGAGAGAGACAGACAGAGAGAGAGAGAGAGAGAGAGAGAGAGAGAGGGGGAGAGAGAGAGAGAAGAGAGAGAGAGAGAGAGAGAGAGAGAGAGAGAGAGAGAGAGAGAGAGAG